ATTTTAGGGCCTAGATCTACTAAATTTTAATCTGATGTTCTTATTGTTAAGGCAAATTGACCCAGCTTCTTTTCGTCCCAAAGATTTCAAGCCGCGAAATTCAAAGTTTGTTTAGTAGTGCTGGTCTTAAAAAAAAAAAAAAAAAAAAAAAAATCAATTTTGTCACCTGTTGTCTATTACAACTCGAGCATTTTTGTCAACAATTACTAACATTGGTTTCGGTATTAAATGACCCAGTGGGTTGATAAGCCTTAAAAAAAAAAAAAAAACAACAAAAAAAAAAAAAAAAAACAACAAAAAACAAAACAACCTGTATAAAGAATTTCGAAGGCTGACCTTCAACATTAGACAGGCTCTCTCTCTCTATCCGCTTGTACGTTTGGCAAAATACAATTTTCCGAGGCCCGTTTCATCTCGTTTGTGTTTAGTAAATATCGAAAAGAAAACTTTCAAACGTGCCGAAGACATAATTTTCCTCCATTAACTTATATCCCATATTTTCTGGCATCTTCGACGCACCCCGATTTAGAATTGTGAATTCATTCAAATAAATATAAAAGGAATAGCTGGTCGCTCTTATTCGGGGATACCCGTCTACTACGGTGGCTAGCCAATCCCTACTGCAGACGCTTGTTCAGGCGCATTTGTGTTTATTGAACACTATACTGAAACTCTGCTGAACAGACCTTAGTTACAGTTTCTGGGAAATAGCGTGTTATCTAGTTCAACAGTTTGAACAAGACCAGCACACTCAAGCCCTCGGCCACGATGACTTGTGACTTTGACAGCCCCCAATTTCACTCACGAGGTTTTCAGGCACTTTCCAAATGTGCCGCATGCTGGGATCGACCCTCCAGTCCGATAACATTAGGAAGTCTCTTTCTTGAGAAATCGACCATGGTGAGATTCGAACCTGGATCCCATGGTTAGCGTTCTAACCACTCGGCCATGTGCCCATATAAAGGGTGTCCCCATAACTTGGGCCGATTTTAAATGTAAATTAATTTTAAGCGTTTAATGATTTTTTTTTCTTTTTCTTTCAGATTTAAAAACTTAAGTCTTTGGCAATTTCAACCATGGAAAGATTAACAATCAAACAACGTGTTAACTAAAGTTATCGAAGCCTATTACGAAAATGGACGTTCAAACAAAAATGCACTTCGATTTTTTTGCTCAACATAATCGACCAACTGAAAGTGGAATTGGAAACGATGTAACGTTGTTGTGGAGAGGTTCAATTCCTGCTTGCGATGACGAATAGAGGGGGGTCTGGATTTTCGGCCACATTCTCGTGCACTCTAGCAATGTTTTCAGCTGAACGGCGTAAACGAGCACGCAATGATGTTTTCACATCTGCCACCGACAAAGTTTGTTTGAATTTACGAACAATTTTTCCAGTTGCACTCTTGAAACTTTAACACATTGTTTGATTGTTAATCGTTTCATGGTTGAAATTGCCAAAGACTTAAGTTGTTAAATTTGAAAGAAAAAGAAAAAAATACCATTAGACGCTTTAACTTAATTCACATTTAAAATCGGTCCAAGTTATTGGAACACACTTTATAAAAAGGAATAAAATGCACCCAACGACTTTTAGAAATAAAAGTTATAGTTAATTTATTCCAATTATAATAGTAAAATAAAATTTCATATTTATCATAATAAAAAAGCCATGTTTAATCGAAATTAATCGTGACGTCAACATTTAATTTATTCAAATATTAATTAATTGTTACTACAAATGAAATGAATGAAAATATTAATACCTATTTGACTTTACCCTAGCCATAAGAAAAAGGGGGAAAGGAAAAGGAGAAAAAGAGAACGAAAGAGAGAGAAATGTGAACAAGAGAGAGAGAGAGAGAGAGAGAGGAAAAGAAATACAGAGAAAACAAGAGAGAGAAAAAGAAAGAGAAAAAAGCGTGTGTATTTTTTTTTGTGCGGGATTGGATGAAAATTATTTTCCAAAGATTCTGCTATACAAAGGCGGGGAAAATATGACCCACTGCCCTTTTCTAAATTAAAAAAAAATGGCTATAATTTTCGCTACAAGGAACTTTATAAACTGTTTCTTAAATTAAATGATTAAAATTCTTACTGACGACGGCAGCATGTCTATTGAAACATGACACGGTATTCGAAAGTGATAGTTTTTTTTTTTCCAGGAAAGGAATTCTTTTTTTACCATTTTCACTCCACCCAGCAATCCGATAGTTCTGTCTTTTTTTTTCTTTTTTTAAATTTTGGGTTCAATTTATGCTTGTAGGCGAAATATCAACTCCGTGAAAAACAAGCAGACATATTTTCTTTGTTAGCGTCGCTGTATTAGCGCGTCCAACCCGACGGCCTCGCGTTTGCAATTTGTCAATTAATTCATATGATTTTGCAAACCCTTTTTGTCTAGGTAGCTAGCAAGATACATAAATAGTCAGACAAATAAGAAATGGTGGATAGATATGGTATGGGTAGATAGTTAAAAATAGGTAAGGGATTTTTTAATCGGTATCACTCCATGTTGCGAAATTTGCGTTTCCAACCTCAGATTGGTTCGTCCTATGTACACCGCTTCACATCGGCATTTGAGTTGGAATACTACTAAATTTTTCTGAAAATAGGACAAACAGTCCTTACTGAAGGAAGGGGACGCAGACACACACACATATATATATATGGGAAAAGGAGTTGAAAATGCAACTGGATTCTTTAAGAACATTTATTTAGAATAACTTTACTGGTTTCACAATTCTATGATTTTTAACAGTTAAATTGAGATGGAGAAACGTGTGGCTATGCCACGATCCGTTTCCACGATCATAGCCCAGCAACAGCAAGAATTAATCCAAACAAGTTTTATAAAATAAAACCATCAGTCTGTCTATTCAACCTTTAGTATTGTAAATTGGTTGCCTTCATTTTGCATTCGTTCAGCTGCTAAATGTCTTAACAAAATTCTAGACACATCCAAACATCATACACAATTATTTTAACCTTATATAAGAAATAAAGAGGTAATTAAGAATTGTTGAATTATTCCCCGTTTGATCTTCTGTACAAAAATAATTTTAGAGTTGTAAAAAAAAATTCTTTTAAGAATATTTGACACTCGAAAATGCCATTAAACTTTACATATTTCAATCCTTGAAAAACATCTTAATTGAATAAAAAAAAAAAAAATATGAGCAACAGGATGAATTTCAAAATCGCACTGAAAAATTACAATCAATTTTTTTTATTATTAATTATTGATTTTTACCCAGTCAAATCTGAGAGAAAATAATGCGTTTTATACATGCACCAACTCCCCCCCGCCACCAAAAAGAAAAAAAAACCTTTTTAGTGCAATGGCGGAGGTGGTGCCGCATGTTTCGAATCCCTGAGACTAGGTATAACCTCGTGATGAATAGTCCGAAAACAGAAAAAGACAGAGAAGAGGAGAACAAATATCAAACTTTGATCTCAACCAGAAGCCTAGATAACGTACGTCCTCGGCAGAATGCATGGATACTCTGATTAAAGACGAAAGTGGTGATCCAAACGTAAATAATACCTATTTTTGTTAGTGTAGGGTTACCAAATATATTTTGGGCGGTATTGATAGTATTGTGCCATCAGGACAGATAATTACCTAAGCATTTGTAATAAACAAAAAATAGAAATAAAAATAAAAGACGGTTAGAAAGAAATTGTAAGTATGTGAATGAAGTTTTTATCTCGAGAAAAAAAAGATAGGCTAACAAAGTGCCTCTTGGGTTTGGCGATAAACTACTTCCAGCAGCAAGGCCTCTGATTGGAAGGCTTTGAGGAGCGTGGAACCACCTTTTAATTGCTGTTGTTCCCAGGCCCATCCTGACCCAGGGTGGTAGCACTTGTTAGGGTCCTAGCCATGGGCAAATAGTCCCCCCCCACAAAAAATGGAATCAAAACACTATGAAAAAAAAAATCATTTTATAGTAAAAATAGCAGTAATACATTTTCATAGTAAAAAAAAAAAAAAAAAAAAAAAAAAAAAGAAGAAATTACAAGCAAAAGATTTTTGTAAAAAAATTTCCAAAGCTCTCAAAAAGATTAAATTTCGGTATTAAATGACCCATAAGGTGTTGATATGCCGTTAAACAAACATGTTAACGAAGTATGATACTTGCCGTCTCTCTGAACCTGAAAAGAAAACCTACTGATGTTGCAAAAAAAAGTTATTTTTACTCATCAGTCAGGCTCGTTATGTTTGTTGCAAAGGACTCTCTCTCTCTCTCTCTCTGCTCAACAATCAGGAACGTATATTATCTCTCCGATGTAAACGCACAACGAGATCTTCGCCCATCTTTCCAGCTACCGGCCAATGATTTTCCCCATATTGTGCTAGCCCGATTGTACTTTGGGACTGGCACGAAGAAGAAGAATACTTTATCAACATGTAATAAAGATATTTATATACACCTAAACATGAATACAATGGTTCTTTCTTCTATATCAATAGACTTACCCATCTGGTGCTGTGAAATAGGGCTAGATAGTGTGTACCCTTAAACCCCTCGGCAACTGGTAACGTTGGTGGCGGAGATAATTTCTTGCGTGTTGCTTCGGAGTAGGTCCGGTCTCTTCTCTGGTAGTGATGAGCCTTTTCTGAACCCACGTGGTTTTATTAACCAATGAGAGACCGCCGAACATCATGTGCTGGCTCAATTACAATAGAGTAGAGAGTTCGATCCACATTTACATTTTGTTTTTTGATCGATTCGTTTTCTACGGCTTATCAAGCTTTTGTAGGTTATTTAAAGCCAGAAAATATTTTTAGATTGTAAGATTTTTCTTTTTAGATTATAATGATTTAGTGATACAATTCTTACTAATTAACCCATAGCTAGGGGGAGAAGAGGTGGATTCATACTTTTCCCAAGGGTATTAGCATATAAGGGAATATAACGAACCCAACGGGAATTAGAACTCGGTTCTCCAATTAAGCATTTCGAGCCATTATATATTACACCATCTACACATCCAAGCTTACATCAACTAGTATTCTCAAACGGTCACCCATGTAGGCACTGACCAGGCTCAACATTGCTTAACTTCAGTGATCGTACGGGAACCGGTGTTTCAACGTGGCGGTCGTAAGCCTTTACGGCTACGGTAAAATGGAATACAATCGATAAATAAAATAATAAAAATAAATAATTTAAAAAAAAAAAAAGAAATATATTTTCCCATTATGCTAGGAGTAAAGGGACCGTAAATATTCCATTTGGTTTCGTCAAACGCCTTTAGGCGGCGCTGGTTAAATCTATAAAAGACAAACATTTTCCTGTCTCACTCTTTCCTTTTAGTCCAAGATGTAGAACCACTTGGAAATTACGTTCTCGCTGGTAAACATTAGTGTCCTTGGTTCGCTGACGACTGAACTCTCTTTTCACTTTCCAACTCATGACACTTACAAGTGTCTTCCAAAACCTCCCTATGAAGTAAATCAACCTTTTCTTTGGTTGCTTCACCTCAGCGCAAGGCTGACTTGAGCTCGGCCATTAACACGATACTTATACTTATTTGCCCTAACTTCTGGATCAAAAGGAAAACAGACATACCAAAGAGACATTGAGAATTTTGTTTCACTACAGTTTATATAAGAAAAAGAGAATAAACGGTCCGTTTTAGAAACCCAAGATTTTGTATCATTCTTCTTTGTTTATTATATGTGAACACGCCCTCATGTATATACAAACACGCAACCTTATAAATTCTATACGGCCTTATGCCGCATCTAATCTACACTTAGTAAATCACTATATATTTTTCAAGAACAGTGTTTATTTAATGGCAATATTATGCTGTGTTTTCTATCGTCATAAGTTTGTAAATTTACACACTTGATGAGATCAAGTAAACTAAAGAAAATGGCGAAGTCGGGGACGAGGAATGTTTTGCAACAAATCTATTGAGACATTTTTTTAAACCAATTCAAGGATAATGCTGCTTGATTTTTTTTTATCAATTACGCATAAATTGTTAAGGGGACAAGCCAAGTCGTGATTTGAAATTGTAAATAATAACATTTTTTTCTGTTTTGTTAAATTGTTTATTCCAGTCCGCTATTCAAAATATGCATTGTGGATTATCCACGAATGCAAATTCTTTATCTCTCTGTATTTGTGTTAATCACTCTCTGTCTCTCTGTCTCCATTGGTCTCTCTCTCTCATGTTAAAATAAATTCTGTCAAATGCAGAAATGCTATGTGTACAAATGAAACAAAAAATTATAGTCATAAAAATAATAAGATTAAATTAGGTATCCCCAAAGACTCGCTAAAAAAAAAAAAAAAAAAAAAAAAAAAAATGGAGCATACATGATGAAAGAATGCCCCAAACTTTTTTCGTCAAAATCTTTGTGTTACTATTAAGAGGAAAGAGTGAAGATGAGACAACGTGTAAAATTTATAAACGACGTGTTCCGCCGAGAGCGTCTGCTCTCTTTGGCTTCCTTGGGTTAAAATGAAAGAAAGACAAAACTGTATGTAAGGAAAAACGCTTTGGGATCACTGAGGATAAGTGGGAGACTATAAATTAAATAACCTCTAATGTCCAGACTCAAGAGAGGGTCTGTTCGATTTTTTTATTATTAAATTATATTTTTTAATCCTTTTTAAAACTTTCAAAATTTTTAGTTAAAAATTTTATTTTCTTGAGTCAGTGGCTGACCATAAATTAGTATGGTCAGCGTCTTTTTGCAGTGAAAAACACATTGATTTGGAAATTCTTTCAAAAAATCAAATAATTGTTGTATTTTAATGAAACTGTCAGTACTTATTCACAAATGAATTAAATTATTATTTTAAAAACGTTTCTTATTAGAAAATCTTGATAAAAGATATTTTTTATATCTGTTACCTACCTTCACTTATTTAATTTTGATGAAGTTTCGAGAAATTCATTTTTGTTGGGCTTAATGTTTAATTAATTATAATGGCAGGTTTATGGAGAATATAAAAATAAAAATAAAAAATGGAACAAAACTAAGAAATTATTTAATTAGAAAAGCTTTCAATTGGTTTTATGAATAAGATATATTATGGACACTATAGTCTTAAGATTTTTTCGATAAATAATGAATTTTTACAAGAATTGTTTGTATTTTTAAAATTTTTTAATTATAATAATTTATAAAGTTTTAAATCTTAAAATTCTGCATTAATTTGTAGCGGTTAGGTGATATTGTTATTAAATATAAATTATAGTTACTAATCATAAATGGAAAAGCTTACTGCAATTCAGCGACCCCCAGTATTTTTACAAAGAATTTTCAATTTTTGTGTACGTGTATAAACGTGCCGATTTTTATAAATACGGACGTTCATACACCACATTATTATAAAATATGAGCGGTAACTACAGTAAATTAAAATTTTATTGGTAATCTTCCAACATTTCTTCAACAAGCGTCTTCGTAAGTAAGACTATAAATTCAAAATACCTAAAATTAAAAAAAATTATTAGGTTACTATATATTAGATTTCCCTAAATTTTAAAGATTGCAGTTTAAAAATGATATGAAAAGGCGTTCACGTTATATTCAGCTAATAATTGTTACAATAATTGTCCCTATTCGAAAAATTTAACTAAATTTACATTCACACACAATCACAAATGTTAATGTCTATGTTCATTGTAAATTTTGTTGTTTAATACATATACTTGTTTGTATTTATATATCGGTCTTGTTTTTTTTACACTTTTTTTTATGGCGGACTCAATCTCTAGCAGGAAAACGCACGTGTTCCTAATTTAACAACACATAAACCCACGATCCGCCTCAATTACGTGATGTTGAAAGATTTGTAAATATTGACGAAAATCGCCATATTTAGCGATTAAAAAAAAAAATCATTACAATTATTGCACCCGGCCGGAAGTTACTGCCGGTTACTCAAACCGCGGAAAACAGAACAAATGCCGTTAATTTCCGGTGACTCAGCGTTTTTCAGAGAACGATACACAAAAAGCAAAACAAATGAAACATAAACATACACAAGTCCTCCTAACTAAAAATAATGACCAGAAACTACTTTATATACACATGGTGTCCAAATGAAACCCATGTGTACTGTCAAAATGCGGGGATCGACTGGACCTCGAATACCGCTGTCCCATCTGCCTGCCTCCGAGCTGCCGCCTTGAAGCCAAAAACGATCCTTTAACTGGCACTCCCTGACTTCACGATCGAACTATACCAAACAATTCCTGTATATACATTTGTCCAGATCGACAAATAAATCCGACATTTTTTATTCTAAACCTCTGCCTTTGTTCCTCATTGTCTTAGCTGTTCACATCTTTCTTCGTAAAGCTTGTGGGGGCGACATTCTTATCGGCTCCGCAACAAGTGGTGACTTCTCGACGTGAGACAGCTAAGCGATGATGGAATCGGTCAAGGGATTCTACGGAACGTCACCAACTGTCTGTGCCCAGACGCCTACCTCTCTTTACTTCGCCTTCTTACTACTGGCTCCTTGCTCATGTTCGACTCTCGGCATTCCGTCCCTACTGGCTGCCCGCACGTCGTCCGTAACCTTTCCCGTACACTACGGATATGATTATTACGGGAGGTTTCGATATCGGATCCGACCAGCAGGACACGCAACGCCAGCACTGGACATTCGATATGCCCAACATCGCAACGCCAGCTCCCGGGCACTGACCAGATACCGTCACCGATACCGAGCACTGCGTCACAACGCCAGCTCCCCGTTCCAACCAAACACGTCCAGCCCAGCTAACAGCAGCGATCATCTTCAACGACCAGCAGCAATCATTTGCAGCGACCAGCAGCGATCGCTCACATCGGACAGCATCGATCACCTGCAACGATCAACCTTTCCCGTATATTATTGGTAGTAAATTACTACGGGAGGTTTTGACGCCGACCTCGACCGGCAACGTCCAACCGTCGACTCGACCGGAACGTCTGCACTTCGACTCCAGTCGTCGACACGACCGGAACGAACGCACCTCAGCATACCGTTGTCGATCACAACGTCCAACTATCGACACGACGGGAACGCCTACAGTCTCCTTCCAACCGTCGACACGACCGGAACGTTTTCACCTCATCTCCAACTATCGACACGACGAGTCCGACCATCAGTATCTTGGTTACCAGAATCAATGTAAAATGCATTAATCCGTTTCAGGTTCCAAGATGATTGCTTATTTAAACTTTAACAACAGTGCACAAGTTTATATACAAAACTAATGAAAATCATTTAAATCTAAGAAAGAAAAAACAAAACAAAAAAAAACAATACTAAACAGGTAAAATTTAGACGAACACTTCAATTTTATCATACCTTCATGTAAGAGAGTTGATGGCGTAAGTGGAAGAGGAAAGAAAGAGATGTTATTGTTTGGAAAAGGGAAGGAAAGACATGATTGACTCTTTATTTGTAAGAATAGTATAGATCGTTGATTTTACCATAAGAAACTGAGTAGGAAGAGACAATATCATCAATAATTGTTTTTTCTCTTAACTTTTCTTTTTCCTTTACCATTATCATTGCTAGCTTTCTTTGGGGCCATGAATAAGGACTAATGAAGAGAAAAAAGGCACAGTACAATAAAATTAGAAAAGAAAAGCACAGCGAAACACACGAATGTATACAACATGGCGGTTGACGCAAAAAGGATTCCATTCGGGTTAACTCGATTCGGCAATGTTGTTCGAGAACCGAAATTTTGTTCCATAACCGAGGTATTTTCATTTCGAATATTCTGTTCGAAAAATGATTTGTTCGACATGTGAGACGTTTGAGAACCGAGGTTGCTCTGTACACTATTTTAAAAAAAAAATATTTGAGAAATACATAAATAGGTACGTTTATTTGTACTATTGAGTCAAAGACCTGTTATTAACAAAGAGTATGCTAGGTCAGGGTGATTCGGTTTTATGACAAAGGTAAGTGTTAGATTTTGGATATTATAGGTCTTGTGTGTGTGTGTGTGTGTGTGACTATAAATGCTTTGTTATTTACTGTATCCTCTATCTCATATTTTTTCTTTTCTAGTTTGCAAATTGTCCTAAAAACATTTATATTATTGTGCTCTAAAAAAATAATAACTGA